CACAAAGACCCAATCAATACACTAATGCGGACAATGAATATTTCAACACTATTGATAACAATTAGTACCATGTGGTTTGTAAGTCTAGACCTACCACTGCTCCATAGCATAGAAAGTGCTAGCGAGGTTGCTATAGGTGAGGGTCCAAAAACAGCGAACAATTTCTTGAGTGTGAATACTGTTGATTCAGAATTTTTGCAATGTTTTTATTAGATAAAACTTATCTTTGCAAATTGAATGGCATTATTTATCTCGCAGTGTTAGTCTTTGTTCAACAATAATAAGTAATAAGTGCACGCAGAAATTTCTGAATTTAAAATAATCAAGATAGTTTTGAAGTTAATCCCATGGATGTTTTTTTTTCTACCTTCGACAGAACTGGGCAAACGTTAGGGAAATGTGCTTTGTTTATCCTATTCTACGGAGTATAAGTTTTACTCTTTATCTTCATTTCCCCTTTCTCTTCGCTTTTGTCATAGTCAATTGTCATTGCCCACCATGTCACGTTTTATAACAATGCCACTACAACCAGTATCTCGTAAAACTGTCACTGGTTTACTATCAACATAACCGGAACTTACAGACATACTTACATTTGTGATTGACTGACAAGACGACGGAAGTGTACTCGTACAACCAGTAGGAATAACATCTACTATAGAATTTGTAGGTATAGTACAGGTATTACATATCTTACCCTTAAAATTCTTTTTATCCTCTGACAATGCACTGCTTATCTTTTGTAGATTAACTCTATAATCCAATGCAATATGTCCAGTCTTACCACACCTAAAACACTTTCTGTCTCTGACAGGTATAAATGAAGTGCGTTCTGCAGATTTATTTCTCTGTTCTTTCCTTGCGTTATCAACGTGTTTTTGACCATTTTTGGCTTTTTACTGCAGCTGAGTTCGACTGATTACCTTTATTTATAAGATTGGAAGCACTTGTATATCTTGCCTCACGATATTGGTCAGCTAAACCTACCATTTTCTCTAAAGAATCTGGTATTCTTTCTTTCAAAAACAATGACAAGTCCTTCGAACATATATGCAGAAACTGATCCCGCATAATCAAATCATACAAACTTTTATAAGTAGTATCTATATGTGCCATCTCACTCCAACGCTTAAAATAGCTATCTAACAGAAAACTATACAAAAGTCTCACCTGGCTCTGGTCTACAACTTCTAAATCTACGTTTGAATCCATCTTCAGTCATATCATACCTTTTAAGTGGAGCATCTTTCAAAGCTGCAAAATCAAAAGCTTTATCAACAGGTAAAAGTGCATAGACATATAAAGGCTTGCCCTTCAATAATGCACTGAGATGAGTGGCCCAAATATCTGGTTGCCACTTTTGAGCAGTAGCATAACGCTCGAATCTCCGAAGATAACTATCTATCTCATCATTACCTTCTTCGAAAAGTGGAATTTTAGGTCTCATGTGACCCACCTGTATTTACTACTTGTGGTAACTCAGCTTGCTTACTTAACTCTTCCATTTTCTGAGCATGCATCATTTTTTTGTAGTTCTAATTCGTTCTCGATCTTAGCTTTCTCATTCAAAGCCTTATCTATACCTGCTTTCCTGTCACGTTCTTCTTTTTGATCTTGCCTTAAAGCAGCCCTTTCATCTCTGACTCTATCCAGCTGATCTTTAACAAACCTTCTCAACTCCTCATCTTCATACCCGAATGAAATACCCAACTCTCTAACCTGTTGAATCTGTTCCATCCTGAACAGTCAACCAACCAAATACTAATTTCAAAATACAAAACGTCAGCACTCAATGTACCCACTGCAACCCTCAGCATACTACACTCAATTACTAATTACTAAATATATGTAAGTACCGATACTCATAGTTTACAATGCAGAACGGAAGCAGCACCAAACCCATAAAGCACGAACCAATCTAGACACAAAACTGTAGAAATCTGGGTCCCAAATATTCAATTCTCATTACAACACCTGAAACTATACAATTCATACATGTAATAAAGCAACACTAATGGTAAAATACATCAGGAAAAAATAAATACTATAAAAAAACATATAATTGCAATAAATCAATTTACTGATTATGATAACTCCCTAAGCCTTTAAACAAATCCCACGTCTGACACCAATTGTCACGGATAGACGAGTGCTGGCTTAGAAGGAGTCTGTACTTACAAAATAATTAGTAATACTTTAAACAATTAACAATTTAATATAGTACAAATTTACAAATTAGATAATAATAATAAATGTTCAAATTAAAATGTTCATTCTGTTTCACTAGTTAACTGAACTGCTGTAGAAAAATATACTTCCGGTCATCAAAACTGGCCCAACATAACGTGTAGGTTACGGCTGCCCTATTGACGTCTCACAAGGTTTACGTTGTTATTCAATAATGTTGCTCTATACCATACTGCTCACTACTTTTACAGTTGGTTATTTATCTCTGTACTACATACTACTAACTATACATCACATACTACTCAGCCCTCTGACTGGGACCTATCGAAATATATACTATACGTTAATAGGACATATACACACGCTTATGTAATACACATGTCGCATAAATAATTATGAATACTTAGTACGACTACTTATGCGTTCAATCTATAGAAGATTGCGTTACATTAAATAATATTTAATGCTTTACTTTACACAATAAATAATTACGGCATATCGCATAATGCCTTACGTTACATGTCACATAATTGACTATAAAGTATAATGTCATTATACAATTACTAAACACAATATATAGCTTTAACGCTGAATATATATTCATGTCTATACTTTGCATATTTCTTTACATACTTATGGAAATATATACAACATTGCAATATCGTAAGCAAATTTACATAAAATACTAACTGTTTAGATAATCACTCGAAAAAACACAATCTCAATCGGACACTGTAACTAACCATGTAATTATTGTAGAAAAGGGATGAGACCTTGGGTCATTTTCTTCTATTTTAATATATTAGGGGAGATGATCTCAGGTCATTCTGTAATTCTGTAATACGAATCCTATACGCGAATACGATAAGATTGTTTCGTTAAACTGATCATATAAGATGGGGATTACATAGTAACATATTATTTGACAATGATAACAAAGGGAAATGACACCAGAAAATTGTGTAATTGATTAGGCTTTAAAACATAAAAGGATACGAATATGAATACTACCTGGTATTGCGTGTATGTTATTACAGTTTTTAAAGGAAACCGAAAGAAGATGTTTTTTCGGAAAACACATTTCGCAATGAAGATAATCATCAACAGGCTAACAAGATGGAGGGTAAGCAATCACATTGGATAACTTTAGTTTATATATTCTTACACAGCATTACTCGTGGAATGAGAAATGTTATATTAAATATTAGCATTATTTTGCTTTCACGTGGAAAATAATTAAAATCAATTTACCACAACATAATTAATAAATGTAAGTAAAAGAGAGGCGGAAGATACCAAAGGGTATTCAAACTCATAAGTTGAAAACTATCTGACAATTCCATGGCAAAAACGAAAAATGACCAAAAGATAGACGGTCTACCAGCAACAACACAGAAAACAAAAGACTAAACAACACAAGCATACGAGAACACTAAAAATGAACGTGAAGAGCTTGGTTATTTCGACATGCCCAGAACCCTCTAATTTGCATAAATAATTTTAAAAAAAGTACCTTGGGGAAATCATGTTCCATATGTGCAGATAGTCTTTGGTTCAATTTTCTTGGTAATCACATTAAAAGATATTACGGAACTACTTTTTTTTTAAATGCAGTCAATAAGGGAATATAACGAGCGTGTAACAATAAATCTTTCTGTCATAAGTAAACTGAACTGCGATTGAAATCACGAAAAGTTCCAACAATTAACTGACATGTAATTCCTCAAATGAAAATATTTTTTTTAGAAAAGTGCGAGAAAAAGTGTGATATATGACAACAACATTATATGAATATTTCCGTCGGGTTTCAAACAAAAGGATAAGGGTCGGATGTACGTTGTGATCTTCAAGTAATGTTCTAACAGTATCCATCGGACTGTTGAGGAGGAATAGGGCGTTCAAGAGACTATTACCTCATATTGCAAATCTCAATTTAGTAAGTGAGATTAGTATCTCCTTTTTTACACGAATAGTGTAATAGGAGACGTTTCAGTCATCCCCTTGTATATCGACTTATATAACATGATCATGAGGTAATGAGGTCATAAAAAAACCTGACGCAATAACCGGAACTGAGGAGGAGGATGGAGAAGGGGACACCAAAAAAAAAACAAAAAGAGGCACTACCCATTCCTCGATAACTTAAAATTCGTGCAGTTACCTTATATACTGACCGCCAAACCGAATAACAACAATTGTTACACAACCTATTTAAACTCCCCGTTATAAAATCATTGCGTAATCTTTCAAACTCATTTCGTATACCGTACATAATACATTAATAGGAATGGTTTAATTTTTTTTTTTGCATTTTTCCTTTGATTTTACATATTGCAGACACTATAAATCCAAAAATATCAATAGCACTGTATCGTTATCTGTGTCAAAATATAGTAGGAACAGAGGATCATGTTAAACAAATCAGATATATGAACGCTGTCAGAGACAATATAGCAAGTAACAATATTTTAACAATGATAACAAGTGGTAGCTTTGGGGAAGGACTTGAGCTGCGAGGTAGTGACATTGATATTATGTTTGTAAGTAAACATTGTGAGGTTTGTGAAGATTTAAAAACCAGCATTAATCCAGCACAAACATATCTGTTAATGGAAAGAGACGATGTAAAACCTTGTTATACTCAGCTGAGACTTGAATATAACAGCAGTCCGGACGTTTTTGACTTCTGTGAAGAACATAATGGTAAACAATATTATTCGAGTGCATTGCATAAACAATTTTTTTTGTTTGATAAACGTATAACAATTCATGGTCCGTGTATATCAAGAAAAGAAGGAGATTTGGACTTTGCTATGTGTTTTCATTGTAAAACGTGGGTGTCACCTGCAACAAAGTGGATAACAAGATCAAGTAACTCATGGCCGAGTCATGATGTCAAACAAGGCATTATCAAACACGGAGTACTTGTTGTACCAATCGGAGTAAAGGGATCACCAAAAGAAGATCTACAATGGCGAGTATCTTTTTCAGTTGGGGAAAAACTTCTAATTAATACCTTTACACACACTCAATTACTGTGCTATGCTCTCTTAAAAATTATTTTGAAAGATGTAATAGCTACTAATCTCGAATGTAAAGATTTACTATGTTCTTATTTCCTGAAAACAATTATATTTTGGATATCTGAAGAACTGCCACAATCCATATGGAAACCTGGTAATATTATACCTTGTTTTATGATATGTTTCAGTAGGCTAGTTTACTGTGTTGAACACTCAGTTTGTTTCCATTACTTCATTCCAGAGAACAACATGTTTGAAAACAAAATAGAGGGTCGCGGTCGTGAAATACTTTTAGAAAAACTATATTCGCTGTATAGCTACGGATGGCGATGCATCTTATTTTCAGATCAAATATCTAACTTTCATGACTTTGTATCAATGTGGAATTTCCGCATCAAACCACATACGTTATATGTAAATGATGTAGAGAAAATGCTAAACTCAACGTTTTTCATGCATTCAAATTCTGCCTTTAAAATTCGTTCTGTAAACACGAAATCACTATTCAAGAATCGAATATATCAGACCGTGTTGCGTCAGAAATCTTCAGTAAAAGACGTCTATAAATACTACATGTCAATGAGTTCTAGTGGATTTGCTCAGTATATATCACTGGACAGTACAATCAGTAATAATAAATACCAATACAAACAGTACAAATCCTGTCTTAGTACCCTGCTACAGAATGTGTATCATGACGCTGTATCTGGATGGCTGATGGTAGCATCGCTTTTCTATAAGACAAAACTATACAGTAAGGCTTTATACATCATCAGGTATTCTATATCGAAATGTACTTCCGAAAAATTGTGCCACTACATGACTATGTCGGATTACCAATTGTTAAAACTGAATTCATTCCAGAAGAAGAGTTTTGTTTATATGGAAAAAATAATGCTTGTAGATAGTATACGTTTCTCGAGTAATTCTTTGTTAACACCAGATGAACTTCAAATGGGAGATTCAATTTTGAATGATTTACATTGGTTTCCATCTACCGCATATGCTTATTTCCTTGATTTTCTCTGTCAGTATCATCTCAATAATGTCAGACAATGTCAGGATTCCCTTCAAGGTTTACAACTGATAATAGAAGAAAGTTATTTAATTTCACATTCTGTGTTAAAAGTAAAATCCTACACTTTGTTGGGAATTGCTTTACAGTTATTAGATCACAATGAATCCGCACGACAAGCATTCTTACAATCTAAAGTATTATTCCAACGCCATTGTAAAAAATCTGCATTTAAGACCCTTTTGTAAAGGAGTTAAGTGTGACATATGTGCACTCAGATGAAGTACCGAAATTGGGTTGTTTGAATTTTTTTTTTTTTTGTCTACGAGACAAAGTCAAAGCGACGCATGGATTGAATTCGGATTAAACTAGTTTAATCCATTACGACATTCGGCCACACGTGGTTTTATTTTTTTTAATAAAATACAGCGTTTAGTTATTTTATTTTTAACTAAATAGAAACAGAATATTAAATCTCTTTTCTGTGTCACTGGCATTAGCTGGATTCACGTTATGTAGTGTCGATTTCACTGTACTTTTTTTGGCGTATGAATATATGTATATTGCACACAGTTGTCAAAATGACTTGATGCAGATTTTGCAATTATTGACATTTGTAAAGCACGTAGTTGTTTCTAGTTTAGTTTTTAGTATCAATGCGCAAATCTTCAGCCAGTTAAAAGCAGGAAAGTTTCGAATGTGCAAATAAACAAGTTATTTCACATGTGAGATTATAGGAATTTATGACAATGGGAAATTCGTATAAATCTTCATCATCTTTATAATAACATTTTGTTACTGGAAAAAAGTAATATGGGACGGAAGTTCATGTAGCAACAAAATGAAGAAATCTCGAAATTATATATACGACAAGCATTCTTACAATCTGTTATTTAGTCAATTCTGGCGAATAGATCCTTATGTTAATGAGTTAAATCTGACATCAATACATACAGTAAATCGAAATTATTATGTTTGTGCAATTATTTGTTGACGAGGAAACGTTTTTTTTTTTAAAGGATGAAAATAGGTTCACGGTGTGGTGATCTTTTTTAAAGAGCCCATAATTTTAGATACGATCCGCATAAATTTATCGATCATTTAAATATATTATTTTTAAAGGTTATCAATTGCACACTGTAAAATTAGTTTTGAATATTATTGTAATTGGTACAAACATTGATTTTGTTATCAATAAATTAAAACATTACTAAATTTAAGTGCTATACAGCTATGAACATTTATGGTCCCACATTCCGTCGTTATCTATATTTTGGCATGTTTTTTCTCTGACTGTTTATGGCGTCTTAATCCATAGGGTGTGTACTGATTTATATTTTAATCTTAGATATATGAATTTTGTATTAATTGTTTTAATATAAAAAAGGGAGATGTGGTATGATTGTAAATCGGGCAACAAATCACCAAAGTTCCAATGAAGTGGATGTAAGTTATTATAAGCAACCGTACGGCCTTCAACAATAAGAAAACACATACGTAGTCGGCTTTAAGCTTTGAACAAACTATCAGTATCAACGAGTACTTTTAGATCTTTACTGTATACCTTAACTCCTTTTGTTAGTTGTTTTTTCTGTGTTTTGTTTCGATCTGATCAGTAATGTCTTTTTCGTGATTTGTTCTTATGTTGTTCCGCTACACTACTGTCTCAGGACATGTAAGGGTTGGGCGCCCAGACAAATGTCATCTTTGTTTTTTTTTTGCATAAATCAGAGCATTCGGTATCTGCAGGTTTGAATTGTTTTATACTTCTCATTATAGCATACTATGCGGTATGGGTTTTGCTCATTGTTAAAGGCCTTATGGTAACCTGAAGCTGCTAACTTCTACGTATCTGGTGGAAAATAGGCTCATTGGCAATCGTACCAAAGCTACTTTTTTATATCAATATATGTTAGTTACTGGAAAAGGTGATACATGATGGAGGTGTATGTAACTACAAACTAAAGAAATCTGGGAATTATATGATATTAAATATACCATTTATATGTTTATCAATATATTATATAACCCCTCGTAGCGACTATGAATGCAAGCAAAACCATTCTCCCAGTCGACATTTGATATCCCCTGGCCACAATAAGGCAGATCTCAATCGCCTGACCATTACAATCATAGACCACAACACTGCTTGGTCTAGGGAGGATAGACTCGCTCGGGAAAGATTTTGGATAAGAAAATTAGAAATTTTGGCACCAAATGGGATCAATGAAAAGGTGTAGTTCCAATTCGTGCAGTACTTTTCATTTGGGTTATATTACATATTACTACGCAGTCTCTGTTGCTATTTATTTACCTTTGTCAACTATGAAATTCTAGAATTATACCAGTTTAAATCGCAGGGTGCTGTTCATTTGGGATGTATAAATACGCAGCCATGGTCAATTACTTAACCTTTGTCAAAATATCAAACTGCTATTTATTTGGGATGTGTAAATACGCAGCCTCTGTTGTAATTACTTTACCTTTGTCAAATTTGAAATTTTAGTATTATACCAGCTCAAATTGATTAGTGCTATTCATTGGGAATGTATTTCTACGCAGTTTTTGTTATAACTCAAGTTTCGTCACCTGTGAAATTTTAGAAATGTACCAGTTCATATCGCACATTACTATGTGTGTTAGAAGCATATCTATGCAGTCTCTGTTGTAAATACCTAACCTACATCATTTCTGAAATTTTAGAATTGTACAAGCGTTGTTCGATATATGTAGGATATCTGTTATCCGAAATATTTATTGATACTTACATTTAATGTTTCCTTTTTTTTTAATATTGGTGTTGATTTGTACACTTTTTAGGCGATTATATATATATATTTATATATAAAATGTCTGAATAATAGGCAACGATTAATCAATGAAATATAAATATGATACATTTCACTACAAAATATAATATATAATAAGCAAGTCTAAAAGGGTACAACGTCACCAAAAAAATAGTAAAATCATGAACAAATATTAAATATTTTGGATAAATAATATCCTTCATCAGTAAGATGTCAAATGATTCTTATCTTGATATGTGGTAGTCGAATTGAAATAATTATCTTGAACGTCATACAAATTATCACGAATCAATTCGCTGGTAATTTTTTTTTCAATATTGATGTTTTGGAGGAGGAATAAATTCCTTAAAACTGTGAGAGTCCTGTACTGAAGCCTGAGTTACAGGAAACAAGTGATGGTAGGGACTCATTTTATGTTTTTTCATTAATGCCCCATGGGGAAACTATCCTTAGCTTTCTTTAATATCCAAAAACTTTCCCGAGCAAGTCTGTCGGCACTTGACCAACCCTCGTTATGGTCTATGATAGTGATAGTAAGGTTTTTGAGACCAGCTTAGGCGTGCCCAGGTGATCTCAAATGACGACTTACGGGGAGGTCGGGCTTGCAGGTGTAGTCATTTCGATGACCATTCATGCGTTTGTTGAATGGCTGTTCTGTCTCGCCAACATACTGCATGCCACATCGATACTGAAGAAGGTATACAACATTCTTGGTTTTGCAAGTTACATTGCAATATATAGTGTATACGGACCCAGTGGAGTGGCAAGTAAATGTTTGAGTATTCAGTAATAGTGACAACTCAGACATCGTCTGTTACCACACGACTTGCACCATCCTGCAGTTGAAGGGCTTTTATTGGAGGAAACATCAGCTCTCTCACAAATAAGTCTTTCAGGCTTCCGATCGGAACTCTTACAATTTTAAGGAATTCATTCCTCCTTACAAACATCTATTTTGAAAAAATTTACCAGCGTATTGATTATTGATTATTTGTGTAGCGATCAAGATTATTATTTCAGTTTGACTACCACATTTTACATCTTACTGATGAAGGATATTAGTTATCCGAAATATCTAACATTAGTTCATGATTTTATAATTTTTTGGTGATGTTGTACCCTTTAAGACTTGTTATATATTATATTTTGTAGTGTACTGTATCATACTTATATGATCCATCACCCCGTTAGATTTATCGTTGGCTATTATTCAGTCATTTTATATATATATATATATATATATATAACGCAATCATAGGTTTGAACGTTGTTTTCAATTTAGACTTGTTTATATTTTTTCGTTTGGGCTTGTATTATATTTGCCTTCGGGTTAATATGATCCGTTCATCCTATTTTGACTCCTCAAAATTCAAGAGTCTATCCCAAATTGAGGTAAATTATGTGGCCTTCCAATAACCGTTTTGATTCCTAACATCACTGAAGAGACATTAATTGACGAAATCCGGATATGGTGTACAAAAAATATTTGCACCTTTGTTTGCGGTATACCATCTTCGCCGCAAGTTTATTGTTTTCTGTTTGGTATTAAATTTAAAGTTAAGATCCATTTATTACACCTTGTGATCCGTTTATTTGGCAATCGCCAATGGCAGTCAGCAGGATTTAAGAACATATGTTGTTCGACCTGTTAGTCAAATGCGTTTTGTTAAAATATACTTTTTCACTTTTTTGGTCTTTTGGAAAATGTTGTTTGTGCTGTATTTAGACCCCTATAAAAAGAAATTTGTTTTGCATGCACACGTATAAAAATTGCGGTTTTTATCCAACGCAATCATAGGTTTGAACGTTGTTTTCAATTTAGACTTGTTTATATTTTTTCGTTTGGGCTTGTATTATATTTGCCTTCGGGTTAATATGATCCGTTCATCCTATTTTGACTCCTCAAAATTCAAGAGTCTATCCCAAATTGAGGTAAATTATATGGCCTTCCAATAACCGTTTTGATTCCTAACATCACTGAAGAGACATTAATTGTCGAAATCCGGATATGGTGTACAAAAAATATTTGCACCTTTGTTTGCGGTATACCATCTTCGCCGCAAGTTTATTGTTTTCTGTTTGGTATTAAATTTAAAGTTAAGATCCATTTATTACACCTTGTGATCCGTTTATTTGGCAATCGCCAATGGCAGTCAGCAGGATTTAAGAACATATGTTGTTCGACCTGTTAGTCAAATGCGTTTTGTTAAAATATACTTTTTCACTTTTTTGGTCTTTTGGAAAATGTTGTTTGTGCTGTATTTAGACCCCTCTAACAAGAAATTTGTTTTGCATGCACACGTATAAAAATTGCGGTTTTTATCCAACGCAATCATAGGTTTGAACGTTGTTTTCAATTTAGACTTGTTTATATATATATATATATATATATATATATATATATATATATATATATATATATATAAGTACGTCTGAACCAGTGACAACTCTACAACAGATTTATCCATCGGATCACCAGTAGTGATGGTGATACATGGCTGTGTACATTCTGTATATACAACTCGCAAATTTTTAGTTCTTCTCTCGCCCGGATTCGAACTCATGCTACTGAGATATCGTGACACCAATTCGCCTGCACTGTATCCGACGCGCTAGACCATCTATATATATATATAAACAAGTCTAAATTGAAAACAACGTTCAAACCTATGATTGCGTTGGATAAAAACCGCAATTTTTATACGTGTGCATGCAAAACAAATTTCTTGGTATAGTGGTCTAAATACAGCGCAAACAACATTTTCCAAAAGACCAAAAAAGTGAAAAAGTATATTTTAACAAAACGCATTTGACTAGCAGGTCGAACAACTGATGTTCTTAAACCATGCTGACTGCCATTGGCGATTGCCAAATAAACGGATCACATATATAAGTACGTCTGAACCAGTGACGACTCTACAACAGATTTTATCCATCTGATCACCAGCAGTGATGGTGATACAAGGCTGAAAATACATTCTGTATATAATTCGTCTAAATAACAGCGCAACAATGTTAGATCTGTAAATTTGCGTCAGCAAATTTTTTGTTCTTTCCTGGCCATATATATATGTATGTCTGCATAAGTGTAGTGACAACTGCAAATTGAACCTTATCCATCGGATTCTTTTGATTAAGAAATATCAGGCGTTAGAATATTTATAAAGTGCCTAGAAAATCAGCCTTACAATGTTAGAGAAATTCTGACTCTTAACTTCCTCCCCGAGCGGGGCTGGAACCTATACTTTTCACTTCTCACTTCTACGATAACACCACCTAGCATTGCGCAGACGCCTTATCCCCCTCTATCAGCTATAGTTAGAGGAGGGGGATAAGGCTTCTGCGCAGTTCTAGGCGGTGTTGTAGAAGTGAGAAGTGAAAAGATTAGGTTCCAGCCACGCTCGGGGAGGAAGTAAATAATCAGATCTACTCAAACATTGTTAGGTTGATTTTCTAGGCTCTTTATATATATAAAAGTCTGAAAATTAAACCCAACAGTGTTAGAGTTAGAATTTTATGCTGAGAAATGTTTGTCCTTCAACGGGATTTGAACTCACATCTTTGATACACTACAGCATCAATCGCTTAGCCTCGTATCCAGTGCTCTAGACCACTCGACACATCCGCTATATAAAAATATAACTTCAATAGTCGTAGTGTTACCTTGTCACGTAAGGCGAATCTAGAGATAGACATAAGCCATGTGTTTTAAGCGTGTGTAGATGTTATATTATTTTATAATACACAATGTATTTTTATTTATCAGCAATCTAACTCAACAATTTTTATATACCGTATGGGATAATGATTCAATTCATTATACAGTCACTAGAAATAAGTATATCAAACAAACAAGTCTAAGCAAGTGACAACTATACAATATATATGCCCACTGGATCTCAGTGTGTTTGAGATACATGGTAAATACAAATATTTATACAAGTTTGCAAATTAACCCAACAGTGTTTCTTCTACACAAATTCCAACTGTAAAATGGAGAACTCAATTTATGTATTAACATGTAAGACCTGTGGCATTCAGTAGTGTTAGTGCCAGATTTGATTGCGACATGTCGAGGTTAATCTTTAAGTTGGTTATGATTACTCGTGAATAAATGAAAACATGTAATTTTTGCAAATGATAGGTCATCTTCCTTCCCGTAACCGTTTATTTTTGTATCGAATTGATCTAAATGCTATTCTAAAGTGTTTTGGAATGAATCTTAAATTTCAGTGCATTTTATATCGATGTTTATTATTCCATGGCCATGTCGTAATGAACAATTGTATATCAACAAAACACACTGTCACAAGAAGGAAAATATTACCAACAGCAAAAATATGCATTTTCTAAAAAAAGAACTTCTGTCAGTTAACCTTCTTATTTCTTATACCATATCTGGTCATGTTTATTGTGCATATACATATGACTACAATGTTATAATATTCTTTAATGACGTCTAAAGATTTTTGAAAAACAAATCCCCCTTAATAACACTCGCAACATTAAATCATACGACATAACAGGTTGTTCGAATGAATTGATAATGTCATATACAACAGACAGAAATCCTAAATTATTATTTCAAGCTTAATTGAAAATTTCCTCATATAAATTTTAAACCAAATACTGAACGTTGCACGTGTAAATATAGATTATGCAATTTCCCATAGGAACTAATTTTACGACAAAGATTGTGCCACTTTTACTATGAAGTTTCG